AGTAAATCCTAGTCTGATTAAGTCTTGGGAAGAAAAAAAAACACAGATTTCAAAACAACCTTAGTACTGAGTGATCAGCGCCACTAGTTTCGTTTCTGTGCCTTAAGCATAGTAGATAGTTATTTTTGCTTAATTCCATCTCGTCGTGACAAGTGACAGTGATCATGACTTGCTATGCTGTATGGCTTCAGACTGATGATTGTTTTTTGAATAATTTTTCTTTTCTAAAGCTTCAAAACGGCATGTTGGACAACTGTTTAAGTTACCAGTGCTGATTCAACGATTGCAGCTAAAATTTAACACGTCATTCTTTCTCCCTCCTTTTTTTTTTTTTTTTTTTTTTTTTTTTCTTGGTGTATTTTGTTCATGGACCTTATAAGAAATAGACTAACCCAAACGCGTTTTCTCCCTCGTCTGAGGCGTTCCCGGCTGTCACCTTGATCACTTCCGGAAGAGTAGGGACGACTTGCAGAAATTTAACATTGGTTGCCTATTGCAGCGTGTGTAATTGTCAAGAAAAAGCTGGTTGTAGCGCCTCATTACACAAATTAAATTTCTACATATTTTTATTTTTCAAATTGAGATTGATTTTTAAAAATTTAGCATATTTATCAAGCATAATTAACGTTCCAAATAATTATAAAGCTATTGCATGCTTTCAGGGCTGGATATTTTTTTAGCTTTTCCTATGCTATAAGGAAATTTGTAAATACTTCTTTTAGAAAATAATATTTTTAAAATCTGAACTAATAGAAAATTTCAAACAAGCAATTTTCTCTTGCAAATTTTATGCTTTTTATTGGTGTGTAAATAGTAGTAAAAATACTAAAATATTTAAAACGAATTTTTGAAAGTTTTGTTTAAAATTTTAAATTGTGCTGCTTTTTTAAAATTATAGATGAGTATTATAGCACAAATTTTTATAAAGGAATTTTATTTCAATTATATTTCATAATACATCATAGTGATAAACACTTTTGACCCCTTAAAAATTTTATACATTTAATTCTAATATTAAAATTGTATTTAACCGTAATAATTAATTTTGCTTGTATTTTATAGTTATTTTTTTTTTTTTGATTTTAGTTCTGCATAAGATTTTTTTATTTGTTGTTAATTTAATTTATTAGCCCAAAGCGGCGGTAGACTAGAAAGGCTGTTAGTTTCGAAGCGGCATTTTGCTTTGCGCTGTTTTACTATATGTGTCCGTGTCTCCTTGCAAACTGTTGTTACCAAATATTATCGCCCTGTATTATATGAAAGAAATTAAATAATGAAGAATCTGCATGAATACATGTATGTTTCTTGCACTGTGACAGAAACGACAGTATCTAGAGCCATCAGATTTTGAATAATGTAATCCTCCACCCGAACCCGAGATTTATTCCCAGTGCGCAAATTCTAAAGATATGCTATTTTCAAATGTATGTGGTTTACCGGCGAAGAACATGATATTCAATAAATATAGGTTATATACAAAACTTTAAAAAAAGGTTCCTTTTGGGCGTAATATAAAATCTGAGTGCTTCTAAATTTTATTTTATCTTTTTTCCCCCTTCATTACGCTCAGAAAATTTTATGCTCCGAATTTTATGAATTATTAAAATAATTAATCCACTTTAATGTTAATAATCTAATGATCATATAATCAAATAAATGATCGTTTTGTAATGTTATTATAGTTTGGAAAATCACTGCCTGAAAATGTTCATAAAAGTTTAAAAAACATTTATCAGATCTTGTTTAATTTTACCTTATTTATTTCAAAGCATCACGTACTATCAATCTTATGTAATTTTACTTTATTTTTATGTAAAATTAAGTTCATAAATTTTGTGCTTACTGTTTTTCTCTTTTTACCAAAGTAAAGATGTTTGTAGAAGAAATACGCGTGAAAAAAAATGCGCGAAATTCAGTAAAAAGTGCTTTAATGAGATATATTAAATCGTATTTGGAAAAAACTGTGGCTTTCATAATCTCATCACTATACAACGTATCACATTTAATAATTAAAAAGAGTTATGTGATACAAACGCCATAGGTTTCTGTGTTAAAGTAAACCAGATCGTCCCTACTCTTTCTTGCCGACATGTCGGTGACGCGCGTCACGCCCACTGGGTTAGTCTATCTCTTATAAGGTCCATGATTTTGTTTTGTTGACGTTTTATTGCAGGTGTGGCCAAAGTGCGGTTCGCGAACCTAATACGGCTCTCGTAGGCAATTTGTGCTGCTCATTATGCATATAAAATATATGTATGAAATATGGTAAAATAAAACTATTCAGTGTCCAAAAGGAAGTAGTTAATTAGTTTAGACTCTTTTTACAAAGTTATCAGGGATTTCTTTCTACTTGAAATTTCCTCCACTACTTCTATAATGATGTAAATATGAACTTGTGGCTTTTAGAAAATCTAGATGCGGCTCTCGAACATTCCTGAAATCAAACGTGTGGCTGTTACTGATACGAAGTTTGGCCAACCCTGTATTATTGTAATGGCGCACAAATAGCTTATTCTTGTTATTTTGAAAACAGTGTATGTATCAAGTTAGGACTCATAATCCGGCGTGTAAGTAGTTTGGTAATGAATGTGATGAATTCCTATTGTGCTTTTGCTGTGTTTCGCACATAATCTGATAGATCAGGGCACCCGTAGAGGAAGGAGTTCAGCAGTTGTGACTTCTTAGATCTTTATTTACTCGATCCTTATTTTTGACATAGGAACGTGAGGTTGACATTTATGGTAGTAAAAAGGGTCCTTTATTCTGTTATGAATAAAATTTGTAGTTTTTTGTACGTATGCTTAAAAATACGTCTGCTTTGAGATGACGATAAAATTTTTATAGGTTATAATTCAAAATGTTTTTTGAAAAATTTATAAAAATTATTTAAAAATACAAATTTTAAAAATAAATCATAAAAAATGAGTGAATTTTATTTGGAATGAACCTGAATTTCGAATTGTAAAAGGAAGAATCAAATAAGTTTAATAAAAAAAAAAGAGAAATTAATAAATATATACCAAAATTAACATTGAGGAGCTAAAATTTTGAGGGCTAATTTTTTAAAAACTACACATGCGATTTTTACAAAACGTGGTAGTTTGGCGTAATTTGAGTCGTAGAATCGAAATAAGGAAAAAAAAATTGCTATATTATTTCAGAAAAAGTCCGATTTTGTGTCAAAATACCTATATCGGAATAATGCTATATATAAATCTAATATATAGCATTATTCTGATATAGGTATTTTGCATCTATAAAATTTTTTTATATATCTGTATTAAAGAATAAGGTTAAATGTATATTTATGTATAGCAGAATGTTGAAAAGAAATTAGTGTCTTCACTATTTATATCAGATTTCAGAGCACCATATTCCATATCATAGAGCTGTTCAAAATACTTCGGTTTCGGATACTGTGTGGGCGTTTCCTCATTTGACATATAGCGGGGCTCCATAACAACGCAGCTATAAAATAAACCTTTATTCTCCTGCCGTTAGTCTCATCCTGTCAATGACTTAACCTTCCAATAACGCGCATAGCCATTTAGGTTAGTTGATAAACTGTGGCAAAGCACACGATGACTGTCCGTCTTAGGAGGTATGCTTTCATAGAGTTCTTTAAAGTTGATTTTAACATTTTAAGGATAATGTGAATATAACGGGTTTAATGTATAATTTTTAAAAGCTTATTTTCATAATATTGTGTGCTTGTGGTAAAATTGTTATTCAACGGTTTGATGACTTTTGAGGTTCTTATGGATATAAAATCAATTTTCAGAAAACGCTGCACAGGATTCCGTTGGAATACCTCCATAAATCTCTTTTACCTGTTAAATCTTGGTTTAAATTTGAAAACAGATTTGAGAACACATTGGGTTTATCCTTTTCATAAGCCAAACGTGATCTCAGCTGTGAATGTGTATTAAAAATTTATCCCGTAAAAGTATTCGTGTTTCTTTAAAATAATGATTAAAATTTTGGTTATATAACTTCATTCCTTCCCTGTTCTATGTTTAAAGACGATGAATAAAATTTTTATGTTCTAATAGCCCCATATTTCTTACTTCTCTGCGATATTCTTCTAAGTGTAAATCTTGTGCACAGCCAGGATAAGAAATATGGACACTGGTTCACATAGTTAACTGTATTTTGTACTTACCTTGCCTACTTTAAAGTACATGAAGATGTTCTAAATTGAATATACTTAGGATTGTATTTATTTTTCTCAGTCTTGAGTTCATATCTCCTCCTTTCTTTGTAATTTCTGATATTTTCTGATAAATTAAATTTCCGAAATGTTTTTCAAAAAAAAAAAAAAAAAAAAAAAAAAAATCAGCTAAGTTGATATTTTTAAACTGCTAATATGCTGGTTAATGAAACCATCATTGATTGAGAAAATATTTTATAGTAGCTGGAATTTTTCTGTTTCATGCCATTCACTGGGATTTGAACTCCGGACCGAGCTACCAGTGTTCAGTGACTTTACTGCTCCGCCGTTGGTGGGCCACTTTCGTTTGGAAGCGTATAAATATTGCTAGCTGCTTGCTTACACTGGTGTTTCGCAGTTGAAATGAAACTTTAAAAGCCTGATCATTTACTTGAAATTTCTTGTTTTAATAAAATAGAGTGTAATTTCAGATGCATTTTATTCTGCGGTTAAATACCCTCTTTTTCGCCAAGTTTGTCTGTATTTTTCTGACTTTTGTATAAATACTGTATTAAAACAAATTTCTCTTCATCCGGAAATGCAGTTTTACGTAGAAAGTATTCTAAAAAGAAAAATAATCTTATAATAAAGAGTAAAATATTGTGCACTTTCTGTGTTTGATGAGTTTATATAACAAAAGTTATCAATAATATCTGATATTTCGATAAATTGGAATATATAACTTTTTTTAAGTACTTGCTGTAGATATTTTAAATTAACAATGTGCCCTAACAGCAATTTCTTGAAGGTGTATGGATTGTTTTTGATTATTTTATTTTTATTTTTACAGACTGTTCTCCCCGGAAGATTGACTGCCTGGTATTTCGACGATGGTTATAGTCACAAGGGTAAGTTTTATTATCGTGCTGGAAAAAATTCTAGATACTGTTGCTTGCGTACTGGTTCGTAATAGAGTGAATGCACACAGAGCTGATGATAGCTTAATAAAAAAGAAACACTTCACAGTTCAGGAACTTTCCATAAAAATAATTGCACATCTCTTCACAGTATCATATAGTAGAATTAGTAGTTACACTTCAAACTACTATGAGCATTAAACACAAGGCAAAGCAAAGCGCATCTAAAGAGCGAAGCTCATACGGAAATACTCTCAGTACTTTGAACCCATGATCAACTAACAACTCAGAAACTGACGCTCTCTCCGATCTTACATAAGTTTTTCCCTGGTTGCCGAGGAAATTCTAGCACTTTCTGCTTCTCAAAATCACTGGAAAGCATACGAGGACCGGAATCAATTACAGTTATTCGATTATAATATTCATTACAGTTATATGGGGACCGGACAAAAATGTCACCAAATGGTCACCAAGTTTCGTGATTTCTCGCCAATTCAGTGATATAGTCATTTACTCAATGTTAAATAGACTAGCCCTTGTATTCTTGTTTTTCCGGCAGATCATCGTCGCTTTCATATTACATTATACAGAAAAATTCAACTATTTCGCCAAAATTATCCATGTTATGTACAAAATTCGTAACATTGCCCCTTTCCCAAGGACTGCACATACCAGGCAATACAATCCCTTGACAGGAAGCCATGCTTACCAAATCAATGCAATGCTTAAACAATAATTGCAATAAATGACATAAATCAAATCAAATGCGAAACCAATAAATAAAGGCATAAATTTACATACAAATAGGACCACGGACTTTAGCATACTTGGATAGACAGGGATATGGTCTTAGTATTTACATTATATACACAATCTACTATGTACTGTATGGCTTTAGTAAGGGACAACCCTATCATAATGAACAACTTTAGGCTTAGAATTTGATGACTTAAGATCCAAACTCCGACGTTGTTCAGCCTGTTTAGGACTGTGTAAGGACCGTCCGAAGGTGACTGTAGTTTAGGAGATAGTCCTTTCCTTTGAATCATATACCCTAACCACGCCTCATCACCTTCGTTGAATCGATGTCCTCGTCAAGCTGACTCGCTCTCGTGTAAAATTGTGCTTCATTTGAAACCATGCCTGGAGATGTTGGATGTACTCCTCAGGTGATGAAGATACATCTACAGGGCAACCAAGCAAGAGCCAAAGAACATCTGGAATTGGGGAATAGCCAGTAGTCTCGTGGACAACACCGCTATATGCTAGTATAAACAGAGATCACTTCTTGTCCCACTTCTTTATGAAAAATTATATACTTTATAGAAACAAGGATGGGTATTTCAAAATACTGAAAAGAAAAATTATTTGAAATAAAAATGTGACTGAGATCATATTTGTTTTAAGATTTTAAAAGTGTATTTTTATTATTTTTTCTCGGAAACTAATCATAATTGCAAAATCATTCCTTGAGTTAAGAACACTCTAATAAATACAATTAAAAAATCTGGGGGGGGAACATGAAATTGTAGGAGAAGAAGACGTTTTAATTGTAAAATTTTTCTTCAAAAATTTTAAGTTAAAAAAAAATTACTAGCAAACCTTTTTTCAGCTTAAAATTATTTTTCCTTAGAAAACCGTTTATTAATATTCATAAAAAGTAGATGAAAATGCTTAAATAAAAAAAATCATTCAGAAGGTACCGAGTTCCTTGTCGCGTTGAAGCCGATATGCACTTGTCTTAACTTTAGTTTTAATTTGGACGAAATTTATGGAATACCCAGCATCAGATAACCTTGTCTGTATTTGTGTATAATTTCCGTATCTTATATAGTTCTATCTAATTTTTTTTTTTTTTTTTTTTTTAGGGGGATGCTATCACATCCCCAGACATCTATCAGCGTGATTGTTTCGCTAACAGTTCAGCGAGCAGTAAACTAAAAAATTAAGTGAACCGCGCAATCGCGCATTATAGTACGGGAAATCTCCCCATTTGCCCAAGAGGTGGAACGAAATTATTTATTATCCGAATTGGAGAGTAGCATTCTAGCAAATTCTACTTCCAATTCGAAGAAGCAGTTAATGCTTGTTTGCCGTGAATGGGACACGTTTTTGGAAGAACCGGTTTTTCCCGCTGGTCGAATCTGTTTTTGGAGAAATAGGTAGTAACTAGCATTGCAGTATTGACTACTATCAGAAGACCAGATCAATCCTTGAATCTAACAGGTAAATCCATAGTTCTACCTGTGTGAGAATGTTTTTGATCCACATCTGAATTTGAGTCTAATCTCTGCAATTTGCTGTTGTCAGGTTTTGTTAACTGAGAATTTTCCTGAGCTAAAATATAAGCAGGTTTGAAGTGATTCAGGGATACATTGACATGTTTTCCTTTTATGCTGATAGTAAAATATTTATCTTTGTGATCGATAACAAGGAATGGTCCTTATAAGGAGTTTCCAAAGGTTTCTTCACCCGATCTGTTCGCTGATACACACAAGAACAGTTTTTGGAGTCCTTATATACAAATAACCGTTCAGATGAATTTTTACGAATTTGTCTGGGTCCGACAACTTCGATCTGTTTCTGGAGGTTATTAGCAAAAGTCTCCGATGCTGTCTGGATACTTGTTTCGCTGAAAAACTCTCCACGAAGTCTGAGACTCTGGCCGTAAAGTACTTGCTCAATAGAATGATTTGTATCTTCTTGAATAGCAGTACGCAAATCCAAAAGTACTGTTGGTAATGTGTCGGTCCAAGACGTTGTGGTGAGCTTTTAATGCGGTTTTTAATGTTCTATGTAGGCACTCAACTTTGCCATTACATGAGGAATGGTAGGCAGTAGTGTATTGTAAATTGATGCCACAGATTTTGGACAAAGCTCGTAATGTATCACATTTAAATTGAGATCCACGATCACTAATGAGTTTGCTTGACGTTTCAAAATGGGCAATCTAGTTCCTATAAAAGGCTGTTGCGACATTCTCAACTGAAATATTATCTAAAGGAATTGCTTCCATCCAATTCGAAAATCTATCTATGAAAGTAAGACAGTAACTGTTCCCTTTGAATGGGGAAAGTGGGCCTATGAGATCGATATGGGTTACAGAAAATATTCCTGATGGCACTTCAAACTCACCTAATTTTGTAAATTAAAAATAATTAATAATCATGCAATAACTGAGCCATTACTGGCTCCTGGATTTGAGCAGCTGTGATTGGGTGGCGATCTCTTTCTGGGCTGCTCGAATTTCATGACATAAACAAGAGGCTATTTTTAAATCCTTTACATCTACCATTCGCAGGGCTTTCTGTATCTCAGGATCCCGGATGCCGTCGCTGAAGTACTGCAGGAACTGGATTTCCCTTCTTTCTGATTGGCAGTTCGAAAAGGCGATGCGAAACAGCCTTTCAGCATGTGTGGCGAGCTCCTAGAAATTTTCTATGATTTTCTTTTGGCGACATTTTTAACTGAATCGTGCTATAGCTTTTTAAACATTTGTTTCAAAAACACAGCTCCAACATGCAGGATAGAGCTTTGAAGTCTAACCTCTGGTTTTCGGTCAGAGTTTGAGGGATATCCGCTGCGACTGCTCTTAGAGATGCGGCAAGATGGCAGACCTTAGCTTGGAAATCTCATTCATTCCCATCCGCTACTATTAGAAATTTGTGTCTTATACACTTGCTAAGAAGTCTTACCATCATATCTGGATAACTTTAGAGGGGCAAAAAGGCTGTGGGTAAAAATTTTAAAACCACCAGAATTGCTTCATGCTGCCGCTGTGAATTTCGTTAAAGTTACTTTGGCAACAGCAGAAACTCTCTCTTCGATTTGTTCTTTGACAGAAGAAACTCTTTCTTCATTTTCTCCAACTCTGTTTTCAACCATGTCTGTTCGGCTTTTCATAGCCTCGGATTTGTTTTCTATTATGCAGGTAATTTCTCTTTTAATTTCCTCTTGACCTGCTTTAAACTTTTCTCGGACAGCTTTCATCCGTACTTTAACGGAAGTTTAGCCAGCTTTCATGTCTACTGTAACCGTTTTCACGGCTCCTTCCATCTTTTCTTGGAATGCAGCAAATACAGTCACAAGCTATCTTATTTGCTTCTCCGTCGCTCGTGTCCCTGGCATTCAGTCCCACTTCTGACGCCAAAATTGCGTGCATAATAGATGGAATGCACACAATAGATAGTAGATAGAATGCACACAGAATTGAAGTTAGCTTAATAAAATCTATTTTACCAAAAGACACACTTCACAGTTCTGGACTTTCCACAAAAATAGTCTTGCAGCTCTTCACAGTATCACGGAGTACAATCAGTAGTTATTTTCAAACTACTAAAAACGTTAAACATAATGCAATGTAAAGCGTATCTAAAAAGCAAAGCTAACCTGGAGATATCTCAGTATTCCGAACTCACGCTGAACTAACTACTAGAACTCAGAAACTGATACTGTCTCTGATCGTATATAGTTTTTTCCTGACTGCCGAGAAATTTCTAGTATGTTCTGCTTCTTAAAATTACTGGAAGCCATATAAGGGCCGGATACGGTTACAGTTAATATAGGAATCAGTTACAGTTATTCAATTACAGTATTCATTAGAGTTATACAACAATCGGACCCAAGTGTCGCCAGATAGCTGCTAAGTTTGGCGACTTTGAGCAAATTCTCGCCAAATTTGGCCACAGGAATTAGTAACAAAAACTGTTGTCAGCTTGTCGATATCTCGCCAAATTAGCTAGATGGCTATTTATCTGGCCAGTTTAGCAAGATCGCCATTACTCAATGTAAAATAGACTTTTCCCTGTTTTGTTATTTTTCTGGCAGAACGTCATATATTTAAGCTTTTCTTGTTATATTATACCGAAAAATGCATCGATTTCGTATAAAATTCCACCTAATTATCCATATATGTATAAAATTTATAACTACTGTTTATATATATGAATGAAAACAGTATCTATTTTAAGTAACAAAGGAAACAGTACTCA